AAGTGCACATATGTGTGTCCCAGGGTGTGGTCTGCATTTGCACATGTGTGTGTCACAGTGTGTGGGTCTGCATTTGTACATGTGTCCCAGTGTGGGTGTCTGCATGTGTATGTGTGTCCTGGTATGTGGGTCTTTGTGTGTACGTGTGTCCCAGGGTGTGGGTCCGTGCACATGAGTGCAGGTTCTTGCAGAGACCAGAGGTGTCTGCTCTTCTGGAAGGTGGTTGTGAGCTGCTCCACTTAGGTTCTGGGAACTGGACTCTGGTCCTCTGCTGGACAAGCAAGTGCTCTTGACCACCACGCTCTCTCCAGCTCAAAGTTGCTTATTTTTAGCTAGGCAATTTTATTTAAACATGAAGCAGACTTTTCAGTTAGGTTGGTAATTGTGTTTCTTGTTGTGTGTGTGTGTGTGGCATTAATTTACTGCAGGTCACAGGAAAATCTAATAATGAGAAAGATCTTCCCTCCTCCTCTCTCTTCTTTCTCTCTTCCTCCTCCTTTCCCTTTTTCCTTTTTTTCATACCTTTTCTTTCTCTGAGACAAGGTCTTAACTGTTGCTCAAGCTGGTCTTGAATTCACAGCAGCCTTCCTACCTTAGCCTTTTAGGGAATGCTGGGATTACAGGCATGAGCATCTTGTACCCCCTCCTCACCACCCAACCCAGACAAGGTCTCTCTACATAGCCCAGGCTGTCCTGATACTGTGTAGCCCAGGCTGGCCTCAAACTCAGAGAGATCTGCCTGCCTCTGCCTCCCAATGACTGGGGTTAAAGTCATGCAGTACCATGCCCAGACTCAAGTAACACTTACTAAAATAACTAGGTGAGGGGCAGGTGAAATGCCTCGCTGGGAAAAGATGCTCACTGTCAAGTCTGACTGTATGAGTTTGATCCCCAAGATCCACATGGTGCAAAGAGAGAACTGACTCCTGCAAGTTGTCCTCTGGCCTCTCTCTACACCCATGCATATGCACACACATACACCCAAACAAACCAACCGATAAATAAACGTGAAAATGATTGGGTGGGTCGAGAGTGTTGCCCAGAGCACTAGCCTGCTGTACCTAATACCCTGAGTTTGACCTCCGGCCACACACACACACAAAGGAAAAAGCATTGAGTGCTCTTACTAAAATTAATAATTAAGGGGCTTGAGAGATGGCTCAGCAGTTAAGAGCGTTTGCTACTCTTGCAGAAGACCCAGCTTTGATTCTTTGCACCCACATAGCGGCTCCCAACCCTCTGCAACTCCAGTTCCAGGGAATCCAGTGCCCTCTTCTGAATACTGAGGGCACTTCATGCGCGTGGTGCACAGACATACCTTCCAGCATGTCTCACACACATTAAAAAACAAAAAAATTATAGATTAACTGAGTGGTTTCCGGACCTAATACTCATTGTGTGGCAGCAGTGTGTAAACAGTGTTTGCAGGGGTCTTACCTGACGTTCTTGGGATGGGGAGAGGAAACCCTGACTTCTAGGAGGCCCCTCGGTCACCCATCCTTTGCTGCTCTCTGTCCCTTCCGCCCCCTCCCTTCCTGTTGAAATTAAGCATTATCAAGCTTTTTCTTTCTTTTTGACAGTTGTTTTTGAGACAACATCTCACTAAGCTCTGGGTGGCCTGGAACTCTCTCTGTAGCCCAGGCTGGCCTCAGGTTCACAGAGATCCTCCTGCCTCTGCCTCCCAGGTGCTGAGATTAAAGATGTACACCGCCACACCTGGCTACGTTTTTTGTTTGATTGGTTTTTGAGATAGCATCTCACTGTGTAGCCCTGGATGGTCTGGAACTCACTCTGTAGACCAGGCTGGCCTCTAACTCATAGACTGACCTGCCTCTGTCTCCCAAGTGCTTTAATTAAAGGCATGAGCTACCACGCCTGATTTAAGGTTTGTTTTTTAAGTTGTGTGTGTGTGTGTGTGATGTGTGTGTAACTTTGCAGAATTCTCTCCTTTTGCCTTTACACATGTTCAGAGCTCCAATCAGGCCATCGGGCTTGCAGCTGGTGTGCCTTTACCCACTGAGCCGTCCTGCTGCCTCCCGCCCCCTCCTTTCTCACGTCTAAGCAGGGCAGGTGTGGTCTGAAACCACACATTGTTTCCCCAGAATACCTCACAGTCACAGTTTCTAGAAAGAAAAGATGTTTTCACAGAACGATGTGAAGGAAAGAAGGAAGCCCAAGTGATTTCCCACGAACTAAACGCTTGACGCCTGCTCTGCAGAGAACTCGAGTCTACTACGTCTCCTGTAGCTGTTCCGCTCACTCCTGCGGACCTGGCGTTCCGGTCACTGTGGGAGCGGGAGCATCGATGGCCTGCCGTGCAGCTCCTAGAGCGAACAGCAGAGGAGAAGCTGGAGTACCTTTCCCTTAGTGTCGTCATAGACAGCAAGAGCAAACAGCACGGGCGGGGGTGCTGGAGCCGTGGCTCAGCAAGTAAGAGGGCTTGCTGTGCAAGCCTGAGCGCCTGAGGATCTAGTTCAAATCCCAGCTTCAGGACAAAACAGCCCCAGGTGCCACACAAGCTAGGAAGCCTGGCGCTGTAGGGCAGAGCAGAGACAGGAAGGTCACTGGGGCTTGCTAACTGTCAGTGTAGCTCCGGACTCGACGAGAGACTCTGTCACAGAATCAGGTAGAGTGATAGAGCAAGGGTGGGTGCACACATGCATGCATGTATGTGCATACATTGCACGAACATACATGTATGTGCATACATTGCACGAACATGCATGTATGTGCATACCTTGCGCGCGCGCGCGCGCGCGCGCACACACACGTAAAAGAAAAACGTAATGGTTGGGCATCTGTAATCCTCTGTTCTAGTAATTACGGTACTTGTGGTGAACCCAGAGTCTTTGTGTGCTAAGCGAGTGCTTTGCCACAGGGCCACACTCTTGAGATTTTACAATTTTTGTTTTGAGGTAAGAGCTCACTAAATTGACCAAGCTGGTCTCAAACTTGTGATCTCCTACCTTGCCTTGCTGGACAGCTAGGGTTGCAGGCTTGTACCACTGGACCCCACATTTCCTTCCTTTCCGTGGCACTTTTAGTTATTAGGGTCTTTTAGGGAAGGTGCACACTGCCACCTGAACTACCCTCCCAGGCCCTCATTGATTTACTTATTTTTAATTATACGTGTGTGTGTGTGTGTGTGTGTGTGTGTGTGTACATGCGCGCGCATGAGGGCAGGTGCCCAAAGAAGGCCAGAAGAGGGTGTCAGGTCCCCTGCCTCGAAGTTACAGGTATGATGAGCCTCCCATCGGGACGCTGGGAACTGAACCCGAGTCATCTTTGAGAGCAGTATATGCTCTTACTGCCCAGCCTCTCTCCGGTCCCTCCAGTGCCTCGTTTTTCAATCACTAAGGCTGTGTACTGTTTCATCTGCTAGTGTGAGCCGGGTGTGGTGGCACACTTTTAATCCCAGCACTTGGGAAGCAAAGAGGCAGGCAGATCTCTTGTGAGTTTGAGGCCAGCCTGGTCTACATAGTTCCAGGACAGCCAGGCCTATAGAGAGAGACCCTGTCTCAAAAAAACAAAACAAAATAAAATCTGTTTAGTATAATTAGTTTTATACATTGGACAGGGTGTTTAGCATATTCTAGTATTTTCTTTGAATATTGGGTAACTTTGCTCACAGTCCTGTGGGCTTTCTCCTTAGTTAAAGATGTAAGTGGTAACATGTTTGAGGTGTAATTTACGTGCAATAGAATGCACTCCTTTCAAGGACATACTTTGAGAGGTTACAACTATACCTCCCATGTGACCAGCCCACATTGAAGACATAGGATCTTTCCACCCTCTGGGTTCCCCAGGGCCTTTTCACTCCTGACCCCTCAGTGCCCAGCCTCAGGAAGCCACAGCTGTGCTTTTGGGGAAGTCTCCACACCTCTGCATTGTAGCACAGAGCAGTCCTGGAGAGCATGGAAACAGGCAGGTATGGCTTCGCTGACTTCCCATGTGACTTGGTTACCAAAGCCGGCAGGAGGGCTGCAGCTGGTGCTTGGCTGACTTTTCTGGATTAGTATTAAACTCCTTCCATCCTCCTACCTAGCCTGATCGTGTCCCCATCTGTAGTCTCCATCACAGTCCTTGAGAGCCTTAGGAAGCTGGGAGGCATCCTATCCCATGGAGGACCTAGGTGTTGGTCTAGTTTCTTTTCCTGGAATTCCAGCTCCTGTCTTTATGATTATCAACAACCTGCACTGTGACTACCCAAATCAGCTGCATTTTCTTAGCTTCTCATCTCTGTGTTAACAAACCCAGGTTTGTATACTTGAAGTCTGTGATGCTGGAATTTTTTTCCTCAGGGGTGTTGGGAGTTTGGCAAAATATTTTTGGAGATTATAGCTATGTGTTTCCAGGTGATGAGTGTGTATAGAATGTTCTAGAAACAAAGGCATGAACTTTGTTCCAGGATGACTATATGGAAGCGCTGGCCAGGCTCCACCTCACAGTGACCAGAGCCTACAAAGTGAATACTGACATCAACTTCGAGGTGTTTATTCATAAAGTAGACGGTCTGTCAGATGATCACAAAATTGAAACCCAAAGAGACATTCACCAGAGGGCAAACGATGACCTTGCAGATGCTGGATTAGAAAAAATTCACCTGAGGTAAGAGCCGACACCCCTTAGGGTCTGGGTCCTAAGAAAGGCTGGAACAAGTGTACTTGGGTTTCCGTCACCACAGCTGGCAGGTGTGGGCTGGCATGTATGGTATGGATTTACTTATTTACCTGTTTTGTCCTGGGGTAGGATCAAAGATGTTTCGCACTTGCTAAATGCTAACCTTTGGTGAAAATAGTGTTTTGTTTTACTTTTGTATTCAACAGATTGTCAAAGCTAAGCTTCTCGTTTCATATGAGAAACACAACAGAAGCCGTGACCCTTAACCCAGCATGCTAACTGGTGCTAAATACCACTTCCTGCTAATAGGATGGCACTTATAACCTCAGACAGATGAGGCTTGAGATCATTAGGATTGGAATTCAGAGGAAAGCTTCTCCCATTTATTTTGTGGGGTAGGATAGTGCATAATCATTGACTTTGCAAATTGGAAGACGAAGAAAATGGCGTGCTTCAGTATCAATAATTTAAAAGCTACTGATTGGGCAACAGGCTTGTGTGGAGATGAGTGCAGAGTCTCTTGTAGAATGTAAGGATGCTCACATGGGTGAGGATAGCCAAACTCCAAAGCTTGCTGGTCAGTGCAGACTGGGCATGGCTCTGGCACCAGGGAGGGAAAGAGGCTTCCTGTTAGGACACACTTGTTTTTGACCAAGGTCATTATGAATTCTCGGGGGGGGGGGGGGGGGGGGCGGCTTGTGCTTGTGTGTTACAATTGCACATAAGATTACTGCCGTTAGTGGCAGACAGAGGCAGAGGGAGCCTGATGAAACTCTGCTTTCTCTTCCAGCTTTTATCTGACAAGCATCTATGACCACTCAATATTTGAAGCCTTCAGTAAAGTGGTCCAGAAACTGATCCCCCAGCTCCCGACGCTGGAGAATCTGCTGAATATCTTCATCTCAGTAAGTAGATGGTGTGCTCCTGCCCAGGTCATTTGCAGAATTCCAGAGCCACATGGCAAGAGTAAAAAAAGTTGTAATACCTGCCTGCATTTCAGGGCTACTGTAGTATCACTCTTTGTTGTTGTTGTTGCTGTTTCTCTGTGTAGCCCCAGCTGTCCTGGATCTCGCTCTGTAGACCAGGCTGGCCTCGAACTCACAGAGATCCCCCTGCCTCTGCCTCCCAAGTGCTGGGATTAAAGGCGTGCACCACCACCACCCGACCCCTCAGTTCGTATTTAATGTGTGTGTATGTATGTGTGTTTGGTGGTGTCTCTTTTGTTTTCCTACCTTATTTATTTTTGAGATAGGGTCTCATTATGCAGCCCTGGCTGGCCTTGTGAACTCACTCCTGAAGACTACTTCTACATTTTGTTTTAGAATCTTTAGATTTTTTAACTCTGGAAATGTATGTTTCCCTGGTATGCTTGGATTGCTTATTCAAGTGTGAGGCATCATCAATATTAATGGAACCTTACCTTGGGTACGAAGCAGAAATCCTGGTTTGAGGACCAGCAAGTTGATACAGCAAAGGCACCTGTTGCCAAGTCTCACCACCAGAGTCCAGTCCAGACCACACAGTACAAGGAGAGAACCAGTTCCTTCCCAAAGGTTGTCCTCTGACCTCCACATCTGTGCTGTTGTGAGTCCTAACTACCTCCGAACAAAAATACATAAGCAAATGAGAGAAAATTTCTTTAAAACCCCTTGGTTCTGCCAATGAGATCTGTATTTGAAAATCCACAGATTTAACACTCTGTGAGCAGTGAGTTGTGAGTCCTTCAAATGGCCAGGCCAAGAGTTAGCGAACCACTGTCCAAGTGGTTCACCAAGGATAACTTAGGCTGATTCTGCCTTTCCTTTTTTTTCAAATCCATCATAAGATTTATGAAAGTAAAGTTTAAATTGCAATAAAATGGTAGCCCAGGAGTTTCTAATAATTTTAGCTTATTTATATGCGGCATTGGGGATATCATATAATTTATTTAAGTCTTCAGGGAAATCACCCTCTTGTAAACTGTCTACTGACTGTACAGATTAGAAGGACCCACTGGGACAGTCTCACGGAGGCTTGTGTTGTGCTTTGATCCTCCCCACCCTCCAAGCTGCTCTTCCTTCCCCTCGACGCCCCTTCCCTGACTAGTGGAATGGAATAGGATTTTTTATGTGGCCGTGAATCTGTCTGAACTTGCTGTTACTTTAAAGTATGTCTACTCCCCCCCCCCCCAGAATTCTGGAATTGAAAAGGCATTCCTGTTTGATGTGGTCAGTAAGATTTATATCGCAACTGACAGTGCTCCAGTGGACATGCAGACTTACGAGCTCTGCTGCGATATGATAGACGTGGTGATCGACATCTCTTGTATTTATGGGTAAGCAAAACATTCTTTTTATTGTAATTGAAACAAGTGTCTTTTTTTTTTTCAGATAATATATTCTGATTATGCTTTCCCCTTCCCCAAATAAAATATTCTTTTTTTTTTTTTTTTTTTTTTTTTGAGACATAGTTTCTCTGTGTAGTTTTGGTGCCTGTCCTGGATCTCGCTCTGTAGACCTGGCTGGCCTCAAACTCACAGAGATCTGCCTGGCTCTGCCTCCCGAGTGCTGGGATTAAAGGCGTGTGCCACCAACGCCCGGCCCCCTAATAAAATATTCTTAAAGGCCATAACTGTGCTATCCTTCCCCAGGCTGGAGATACAGCTTAGTTATGACACAAGTCCTGAGATCAACCCTCAGCGATGCAGAAAAAGGGAGGAGGGGGAGGGAGGGAGGACCACCTTCCCACCTTCCCTTTCACAGTTTCTGGACATCTTTGCATTTACTCACTTGACTTTTGTACTTTTAAGTGACTGGGATCTAGAAATAGACCACTTAACATGCCAGTAAAAACAGACAATTGTTGAGCAAATGCAATGCCTTATATGATTACAACTTTGCTACACCTCTCATCTAATTCTCAGCTGCTCCATGAGGCAGGAATTACTGTACTTGTTTTACAAATGCAGAGACGGGCTTTAGGATGGTGAGATCTCTAGCAGCTGCTCTACTGTCAGCAGGGAAAGAGCAGACTTTGAACCCTGCTCTAAATGATCATGATCTGATGCTGGAAAACCTGTCCACCCAGTGCACCCCATGGGGTAAACTAGGCCCACAAGCTGTTGAGAACATTTCCACTGTCCTGGTACAGAAAATGCCGCCTCAGTATCTTTTAAAATTTGATTTTGATTGTCTGGGTAGTGGAGAAGTGTAATACCGAGCAAATGACATCTGCTAGTTTTTATTACGGCTTTAACATCATAGAAACCCAAACTTCCCATATGCTTAAAATAATATTAGAGAGCGGAGAAGGTTGTATTACTAAAGACGGGAACAGTCGCCATGCTTGGGAGTCCGCTGTGCACGTTGGTGAAGTTGGAGCGTGAGCGAGCTCTTACCTGAGGTTGTCAGCACGTGCCAGCTGCTCTCTCAGACCTTGGTTCCTCCCACTCTTCTCTGCCTCACACCACCCGACATTCAGCCTGCTCTGTGGGCTTCTAGAAGTTTCAGGCTTAGCTGCTCCTGTCTTCCGCCGTCTTTGCCCATCCTGTGAGACTTTCTGTTACCTCTGTCGCATATACACTCATGCACATGTCAACTCCTGTGTCCACATGACATGCCGGCCCCTAAGACTGCGGTGGGAATGAAAACACTGTTGGCAGGCTCACACTCTTCCTGCCCTCACAGAGCCTAGATACATTGTACTTGCCACCATTTTTTTTTGCATCAGACATGGACATCTAGCTTCACAAGTAGGCCTTCCTCACGGGTATGACCCTATGGCAGTCTCTTATTTTAAAGCAGTAAATGGGTGACCTTGAATGAGGCCTGGAGGCTGAGTGGGTCGGATCACAGTCTCAGTTGCTGTGGCAATCAGGTACAGTGAAGAGCACAAATATCTGGCACATAGTTAATGATAGGCATTTCATTATCGTGCCATATGGTAATTAGACGTAAGTGGTGAGTTACCTCATTGGGTCAATGATGTTAATCAGAGGAACTTGCGCCAGCTAAAACAAACAGGAGGAGAGATGGAGTTGGGCTTGGCCAGAGATGGCTTTTCTGTAGTAGGGTGCTGGTGTTCTGAGAACCCACAGGATCCAGTAAGAACTGGTTTGGATCACAGTGGGTTGTGGGTTCTAGAATTTCCTCAGTATGCTGGCTAGTTTTATGTCACCTTGACTCAAACTGGAGTCAGCAGAGGAGGGAGCCTCAACTGAGAAAATACTTCCATAAGATTGACTGTAGGCACGCCTGAAAGGCATTTTCTTAGGTAGTGATGGATGTGGGAGGGTCCAGCCCATTGTGGGGGTGCCATCCCTGGGCTGGTGGTCCATTTATTTTTCTTAGAGAATTACTTAGCAAGAGAAATTCTGTGTTAAAAACATAGGTAAGTTCAGAATATGGTGCATGCCTGTAATGCCATCTATCCGAGATTGGCTGAGACAGGATGAAGGAGCGTTCAAACCAGTGTGGGCAACATAGCAAGATTCCATCTCAAAATAAATAAATAATATCTAAAAATAGTGCTGTGGAAGCTAAGAACTTGGTTACATCTTGGAACGGCTGAACTCTTACCCTGGGAGATTTTTTTGTTGGAGCCGGCTGGAGGTACAGCTCAGTGGTGGTAGTCCTCTTGCCTAGCACGCACAGGACCCTAAATTCAAATCCTAGCATGGGAAATGGTTTTGAATGTTTGAAGGTTATAGCAGGCTCGTTGATGCTTTCAAAAACTACCATTTTGTCAGAGTTTGAAAGTAAAACAGAACATGAGAGCTGTAAGTCCTGGCAGCTGCTAGGGGGAAGAGATGAGCAGCGGACATGCCTGTTTGAATTAGGGTCCAAGAAACCATGGAGGTCAGCAAGCAGCTACATGATAGAGGGGAGGGGAGGGGAGCTTCAGAGAAGGAGAGAGAAAGCCAGAGTCACAGAAAGCATTTCCAGTCTTTTGGCCAGTGTCTTTAAGAGATATCTCTCTCTCTCTCTCTCTCTCTCTCTCTCTCTCTCTCTCTCTCTCTCTCTCTCTCTCTCCTCTCTTTCTCTCTCTGCAGGATCTTGCTATATTGTCTGTTCTGGCCTCACATAATAGAAACATAAATTACCTTTAAGCATGTAGGTGACAGTTTAAAGTTCTTTTTAAAGTTCTTTAAGCTAACATCCCCACACTTCCTTGAAAACACAGTTCAGGCTCTTCCTTACGTTGAGCTTGCCAGCCGATGCCACCCAAGCCCTTTTTATTTCCGTAAGATTAAAGCATCCGCTTTAACGTTGGTCAGATCTGGATTTTAGATCCTGGTTTACCTCTGTCATTAGCTTTGCTCAAGTTTTTATTTTGCCAGCCCAACTTTTCTCTGTATCTATCTGACTTAGAGGATTTTCCCAGCAGCTAGTGTGTGATCAGAACTAGATACGGCCACCTGTTTACTACACAGTCATTTTGGGGTGAAATCGATAAGACTTAGCATTATTACAATTGAGTCAAATTTCTGGTCACTTATTCATGAATTTGGGCAATACATCAGAAAATTCACATAGTGTCAGATGAAGGGAAAAGGTATAAAGACACTTTCTTTGTGAGGAAAGGATTCAGAACCAATCACAGCAGTGTCTTGAGTGGGTCCTGGTTTTTGATCCTTAAAGCTGTGATATTAGCAGTTGGCTGCATTTTGCATGTTCTCACTGTAGGGCTCTGGATGGATTATGTCTTTTCTCCAGCAGGAAACTTGAAAGTGTTGATGGTGAATAGATGGGGAAATTGAGGTCTAAAATTACTCAGCTTCTTCAAGCTGACTTAGTAAGCAGGGCAGCTAGGCTCTGTCTCTGTAGACCACACCTGCAAACATTGGCTGTACAGAAAATGACTGCACAATGGACTCGAGATCCTTCGTGGGGATTTACCAGCTTTTAACCATGTGGACATATTTGCTTTGTTTTCCTGATACACATCTATCCTTTGTGTTTCAGCTGGACTGCTGGAAAGTTAGCTGCAAGGACACCTTTTTGCAGGATGATGGTTTAATTATCAAATGAGGCAAATTTAGATGTCTAGCTTACTCTGTTATCTAATACACACCATACTCAAACTTTACCAGTAGTCCTCTGGTGCTACCTTTCTTTGTGGAGCTGGGGGATAGACCCCAGGGACTCACCTATGCTAGACAAGGGTGCTATCACGGACCCACATCCGTAGCCTCTTTTTTGTTTGTTTGTTTGTTTTGGGTTTTTTTGTTGTTGTGTTTTCTTTTGAGACAGGGTTTCCTGTGTATCCCTGGCTGTCCTGGAACTCATTATGTAGACCAGGCTGGCTTCGAACTCACAAAGATCCACCTGCCTCTGCCTCCCAAGAGCTGGGATTAAAGGCGTGTACCACCACTGCCTGGCTTATCCACAGCCTGTTAATTCTGTTTTCTAGCAGTTTTTCCTCTGGCCCAAGTCAAGCCCTGCATTTTTCTGTCCCGTCTGTTAGGACTCTCTTTGGAAGTCTTTGCCTTTGCTTCTGGCAGCCTAACTGTTCTCCTGTTACAGACAAGATGCCTTTGGCTGCAAAGGCACGAGGGCTTGCCTCTACCTCCACTCCTGTTCCTCGGGCACCTAGAGAGGTGCCCAGCTGCCACAGCACCCTCTCACTGTGTTGGTAAGAGAGCGACTGTGGGAGCCGCTACATCTCCTGTGCCTGGGCTCCCGAGGTCTTCTACCCAAAGGCACTCCAAGCACGCACAGCCTATTAGGGTGATAGTTTTCTGTGTGTTGAAGTGGGGGTCTGTCGCTGGGTTGCAATTTGGAATTCTTTCTTGAAGGTCAAATACATTCTGGTTTCTGTCTCCATTTAGTCTCAAAGAAGATGGAGCAGGAGCCCCGTATGACAAGGAGTCCACAGCCATTATAAAGCTGAATAACACAACAGTCCTTTATCTAAAAGAGGTGACAAAGTTCTTGGCGCTCGTTTGCTTTGTCAGAGAGGAGAGCTTTGAGAGAAAAGGTAACTTTGGGTGTGATTTCAAAGGACTGCCTCAGTTCATGCTGCCTCTGTTGCCCGGTGGGTGTGTGTAGACATGGCATGCCCGCAAAGCCTCTAGGCTTTAGCTCCTTGGCCTGAGGCGAGCCTGTATGATGGAGCCGGTGTCTGGACCTGCCTGGCCCTGGTGTACCTGGCTCCGGTGTGCAGCCGAGAGGGAGAAGGTGGAAACAGAACCAGATCCTCCATGGGTCTCAGCTGTTATTTTGCCAGGCTCTTGCACCAGGAAAGGGTTTCTTCGCCTGTGTTGCAGACGGGGCCTGTCCCTGGGCCACAGCGCTAGGTGTTTGGTAAACCATGTGACCATCGCTCTCCCGATTACAGAGGTAGATGGCATTTGTCTGCTTGGTGTCCAAATGGCAGGGATGGTGTCATGATGCACACAGTGAAGGAATGACCAATACTGCTCTAAACATGACTTGTAAGGGTCAAGTTCAGTTGGTGAGGGGTATGTGTGTATATTTTAAGTAAAAGCAATTAACTGATTTTTTAAAAAAACTTTTTGCAATGATGCCAGCGTGGCTAGGGTGTAGTTGACTGGTAGCTAGGGTGTAGTTTACGACTGCTAACAGTGTTGCGGGTGGCTCAGAGCTTGTCTTGGGCTTGATCTCTTGTGGTACCGAATGCAGAGCTAAACATCGCAAAGGCGAGCCAGGAAGCGCAGTGGTTACAGCCACTGCTGCAGCTTCTGCTGTCCTGTGAGCAAGGAATGCTCATGATAAATTTGTTCCAAAATTAAGGAAAACATAAGGAACAAGATGAAACTTCGCATCTGAGCTACGCCTCGTGTTACATTTCTGAGATCTTTTTTCCCTCTCTTTACTTCATCCCTTCCTTCTCAACAAAACTGGCTGAACTGTTGGGATGGCTTCACTGTAACAAAGCCAGTTTGCATGCTCTCTCTGTAGTGTATGCATGTATTGTATGCGCTGTATTCGTGTGGTGTATGTGGTATATATGTGTGTTGTATGTGCTGTATTCGTGTGGTGTATGTGGTATATATGTGTGTTGTATGTGGTGTATTTGTGTGGTATATGTGGTATATATGTGTGGTGTATGTGTGTTGTATGTGGTATATTTGTGTGGTATATGTGGTATAAATATGTTGTATGTGGTGTATTTGTGTGGTATATGTGGTATATATGTGTGGTATGTGTGTGTGTTGTATGTGGTGTATTCGTGTGGTATATGTGGTATATATGTGTGGTGTATGTGTGTGTTGTATGTGGTGTATTTGTGTGGTATATATGGTATATATGTGTGGTGCATGTGTGTGTTGTATGTGGTGTATTCATGTGGTATATGTGGTATATATGTGTGGTG